TCCATCCCCCACAAACCAACCCCCTACGCCCACCCCCTCTCAACAGCCCAACTAACATCCGCATTAAAACTCCCCGCCGCATCAAAATCATGCACGCCCCCATTACTCCCAATGTAACCCTTCGTAGCAAAATGCCTAAAATACCTCGTCGGATAATTCCACGCCCTCACACTAACACCCGTCCCACTGATCCCACTCTGTGGACAAAAAGTAGCATCCTCACGGAAGCCCTTCGTATTATCGTTATTATTAACAAGAAGGACGAAGTTGACGTGGCGGAGGTAAGCCCCTGCCGTGTCGACGGATTCGAAGGAGTAGCAGCCGCTGTTGGCGAGACCCGTGTGGACGATCCATGAGGATTGCCGCTTGAGGGCGGTGCTGGAGGTGGAGGTGATGGGTGTGATGAGCGTGGAGGTGCTGCTGTGGGAGAGGTAGGAGGTTGTGTAGCCGGAGGTTGTGGCGCGGAGGGAGATGGTGGAGCCGCTTTGGGGGGGTGTGTTAGTTTGTTGGGGTTCAGGAAGGGGAGAGAGATAGAGCAAGCCAGCTTCTCGCTTAACCTCTCATCACAGACAAGGAAAAGGGGAGATCCCAAAAAAAAAAGAAAAAGGAAAAAGGAAACACATACACAGTCAACCCCGGCCCACTAGTCAAACTAGTAGTCGCATACTTCGCCGCCACAATATTCGCCTGCACCTGCGCCTCGACAGCATCAGTCGGATACCCCGTCACCATGACCCCCTCATAAAAGGTGCCCTGCGCACCCACACTATTATCGCCCCCAATCCCCAGAATCAGCGCGCCCTCTTTCTTCATGGGGTTGTACCCCGAAGCAGAGGGGCGCACACCACTATAATACGTGGACATGGATCCCGACGCCGCGTTCGCACCGCGGATGGCCCAGTGGTTCGGCTCGCCTTTCACGATTGCGGTGAGGAAGCGGGAGGTGATGGTCGGACTACCTGCGTTGTAACCGGTGGTGACGCCGGAGAAGAGGCCGTTTTCGAGGTCGGCCATGACCTGGTGGAGGGTTGGGAGTTAGTATCCTCTTCTGTGTTTATATTACGAGGAAGGTGAAAGGGGGGTTTTCATGGTAAAGAGGAAGTAACGTACCCAAGGACCATTCCCAGCTCCAGTGCCCCAAACGCGATTATCCCCAAAGTAAATAGCTTCCATATGTCCATTCCCCGTATCACGACTATTCGTCTCGGCATTGCCGTAGTCAAAACAGCAACCATCTACCCACAATCAGCTCTTCAAATCCTCACCATGAAAAACCTCGCTTAGCCACGGGACATACCATTATAATGCGTCCCATCAAGAACAGCATACATCCCCTCCGCCGCATCTATACACAATCAGCACTTCCCATCCCCATCCCCATCCTCTCTCTCCCTCCTCTTCCTGAAGAAAAACTCACCCCCAACAATCGCCCCATTAACAGCATTATTCCGATACCCCGTACCAGGAGATACAAAAACCCCATACGCCTTCTGCCCATTCAACGTGACGGGGGCGCCCGTCGCACTAGCGAGATTATCATACCCATTCGTCTCGGGGCCTCGGAAGGCCCCCACGGGAGCTTGGGTAAGATGATTCCCTTTGCCGGATTGGTCGTAGATGATGGTGATCAGACAGGTGGTGCCGGCGCAGAAGGAGTCCTGGGCGGCGGCGTTGGCGACGCCGCCGGCGGAGCGGGGGGCGATGGTGGTGGTGGTGTTGTCGGAGCCGCGTTTTACTTGGTAGAGGGCGCCGGAGAAGGAGCTGGGGGGGTTGGTTTGTTAGTTGAAATTAGGGATTGGGGGGTTAAGGGAGGCTGAGGGAGGTTGAGGTATGGTAGATGGGATGGTAGGTGGTTGTTTTGATGAGATTATGGGCTCTCGCTTCTCACAAACAAGCAAAAGGAAGATAAGAGACCTAGAGATGACCTACTTATACAAAGCCCTAGTAGTACTATGAGCAGCATAACAAGGCGTTCCACCCGACGAATAAAGATCGCAAGGCCCCGCAGCGACAAGCTCCAAACAAGCGAGAGCAACACAGCCCAAGAAGGCTCGGTTGGATCGTCCAAACATCTTGAAGAAAAAACCCAAAAGCAAGAATCCAATTATTGGAAAAGATCAATCAGGAAAAACCTCAGTAAAATGAATCAACAAAAACACAAATAAAAAGACAAAAAAAAAAGAAAACTGGCCCATCACTCCCTTTTAACCTACCCTCATACCTCACCAATAACCTCCCAGCCTACTCAGGTACACATATTATCCTCCAATAAAGACCACCTTCCCCAGAAAACCCCATTTCGTCCCACCTGGACGAAAGTGTATTGCGGGGGGGAAATACACACCTCCATGACTGTCGATCCGCGAAAAAATCAACAATAGCACCCTAGTAGGTATCCATATACGGGTTCACTCCCCGCAATCGTCTGCACAACCACAACCCCATCATTTGCCCCTGAAAAAGAACAAAGGAAAGAAGAAGAAAAAACTGGAGTCGCAAAAGGTCAGGTGAGGTGCCTTGACACATTAGCCTATTCGACCACCTTCTTCACCTCGGGCCAGGAATTTTTCCGGATCCATCCAACCCCGCGTTTCGTTTAGCGTCTGATCTATTGAAAGGGTAGCTTAAGCTTTAATTACGGGAGAGGAAGTGGGAAAGTGGTTTGCTTCCACGAGTTCCCCGCGTATGGTGTTTGGATCTTACTGGTGCGCCAAAAAGTAAGGTTGCTTGTATGGCACGTGGAAATGAACGGTGGCACTTGCGACGGAAGATCTCCATAAGAGGCGAAAACCATTTATTGACTTGGCAGCGGAAGAAAATGAAAAGAGTTGTGGAGAAGAGTTCGTCATATGGAGCCATTGGAGCTATTTGATGTTGTTGCCGAGGTCGAGAGGGATAGGAATTTGTGTGCAGATCAACTTGTAGGTTTTGCGAATAAAAAGATGATGAGGGACCAACATAAAAACGTCCATTGATAAGTTGTATCTCTGAATCTCGTACTCTGGAATGGAAATGAGTGCGATATCTATTAAAACTCCGTAGTAAATGTATCAACCAGAGAAATACGGCATACACTACCTAGGTAACCAAATAAGACTTATTCTATTGTTCATACCTCGCACGTTTATCAAAGATCTAAGACCATGAAATGCTACATCATTTATTAGCAGTCAACAAAAATCAGCAAGAGAACAAAAACTTACTAAAGCATAATTCCAGCACCAGTAGCCATGGCAGCAAATTGCTTAGCCGTCTTCATCAATTCCACTCTCCTATCCTTCCCGGTCTCAAGCAATTCCGGAATCACTGCCACAGTTCCAACATAGAGGAAGGTTCCTGCAGTGAAAGGAAGCAACATAGCACCCCAGCTCAAACTCGTGCCCATCAGTCCCTCGAATCGTCCATTAGCACCTTCGCCACCGCTTCCGCCGTATTCCTGAACCGCGATACCTATCACTGTGCCTAGAAGAGCTCCAAATGCTGTAAGAAACTGGGCTCCCATTGCTTGTCGTTTGGAAAACCCCGATTGGATTAGTAGGGCAAAGTCTCCTACTTCGTGGGGGATTTCATGGAAGAAGACTGCGACGGTGGTTGTTGCGCCTATAGTTGGGGAAGCGTAGAAAGAAGAAGACATGGCAAGACCATCAGTGATGTTGTGTGTGAAATCGGCGCTGAGAAAGGATTAGCTTGTATTCCTGGAAGTGAGCGACACGGAAATCTAACATCAGATTGAGATATCCTGCCAATTTCACACTAGCATTAATCTCCTTCTCATCTTCCTCCTTCTTCGCAACCTTATCTGCTTTCCCGTTCCCCTTTCGAGATCGTGTATTCTTCGCAGGAGTTTCCAAAGCAGTCGAGGTTCCTTCAGCAGCCCCATTTCCATGCGAATGGCTATGATCATGACCGCCCTCTCCTCCAGTAGCAATCCGCAGTCCCTTATCCATGGCAACGAAAGTCACAAATCCAACCATAATCGCAACACCAAGTAGCAGATTCCGGTTGGGTTCTACCAAGACGAATCGTACATGTTCAGGACTATCCTCGCCCAAGAAAATCTCGGGCAGTAGATGGAATAATGTATCACCCAATAATCCACCCACCGCGAACGCAACCATCACCGAGAGAGACGAGGGATCGATATTGGGAGGACATAATGCGAGGAGGAAGTTTGGAGGGCCAGAAATGTAGAGCGTTGCGAGGAGGGCATTGACAGCTGGCGTGCCGGGAAATAAAACGGCGAAAATGCGCGATGTCAAACTCGACGTCTGCGGAGAGGTTGCGATTTTATGGGCATTGAGATCTTGTACAAGTTTACACTCCTATCATGATGTGTCAATGAAGTGCATACGAGTAAATCGCGATGTTTGAAGCTTTGGCTTTAAGCTTGGGGCGATCGTCATCGTCCGAACTATGCAGGGCCAGGAAGGAAAGGTAGAGGTACCTGAAGCTTGCCCTCGATTTCAGGCACGCTCATTGATGCAATCGAGGATGCATGTTTCTCCGCTACGACGAATACAACGGCCGCTAGCAGCAGTATAGCCACTCGGCGGGGATGGAAGAAGGGCATGGTAGAAGTGTATGGATGTAGTGGCGGATGGTGTTGTGCAATTTAGGCAAGTCAATGTAGGCCTGGCCAAGAAGGGGAAGCTGGGGATGGCGATGCAATTACGGAGCTGGAACTCATCCCAGCACAGGTACGTACTTTTGCGAGGTACAGTACTGCCAGCCCAACACCAACATCCAACTCTAATCACCTTCTAGCAACGTTATTTCAAGGCATGATTTTGATTGATACAGTCGTCCAACAAAGTCGCTGATGATGAATTGCAATGTTTACACCGAGTCACATGCGTACCTATGATATCGCTGCAGTAAATTTACTACCTATACCTTCAAGCATATATTTCTCGCTACCAAACCTCAATTACGATACCTTTACCTTACCCATCACTCATAATGTGCTTGTGACAGAGGTAGAGAGGCTTCTTTTGGAATTCTATGCCTCATTCACATACATCCATTCCCGGACGGCAATCAGAAGCCACGGAGCATAGACAGAAAGCAACCACAGTATGACACCCACTTAGACACTTCCATCTCATGTCTATGTGAATACCGCGGTGTACTCGAGTATCAAAACAAAATTAAAACCTCCAAAAATCAACCGTAGAACCCTCCTAAGAAAAATAACCCCCCAAAAAACAATGCACATCCCCCCTCCCTCAAACTACCCAATTAATTAATAACCCTCTCATACCTTCCCCTCCCCGCCATCAAACCCATCCCCAAAAAACTGTTGTGTTGCACATCGCACACAAAAGTCCTTACTCGTAACTTCCCCCATCCGTCACCTCTTACCCAAACCATCCTCGAGTCCACCAACACCACTTAAGAATTTCCCACCGAACATCTGCATCGAGACGTCCGAGGTGGTATTCGTGGAGTCCGGTGTCGGAAATGGGTTCTTCGGGATTTGAACCACCGTGCTGGGTCGGGTCAGGCCATTTTGAACCCCGGGTTGGAAAGTTGAGAAAATGGGGAGTTGGATGGGGCGCTCGAGGGATGTATGTTGATGTCGTAAGTGCTTGGATGTTTGATGGAGAGAGGAGATAGGAGAGAGGAGAGAGGAGAGAGAGAAAAGAAGAGAAGAGAGGTTTCCTTGACCTGGCTTTGGACCTCGAAGGAAAGAAGGGGATCCGAGGAGTGTTTAATAACTCAATTAACTGGGACTTTAGGTAGATATAACCTTATTAACTTAATACACAAAGCATCACTCAACACAAAAGCATTCAAATAACCACATAAGTACACAAACCTTACCTATATAGTACCTATTGATTTCCTACTCCCAAAAGTGGTGCCTAGTAATACTAGACATCTAGAAACCCCTTAATTAGCTTAATGGATATCACAAGATAACTCACAACCAGCACGCATCGTAAATACTATAATAAACACGCTACCACGCCTACAAATACAAATACTCGTACACAACGCCCAAAAATCAATCGGGATACTTATTTCTAGCTCAAGCCTAGCATTCAGCATCTAGAATTCCATTCCATACTAGACCCCCCCCTTCCCCAATATTCCATTCTATATATAATTCCGGAATATACTATTCTATACATACCTAGTAGTTCTCTAGCACACCATAGAACAAAATCATATAACCCTAGGTAAAATTTCCCAAATCTAAAAACCAATAGAAATCCTCTACCTACTGAACTTAGTACCGAGATCTAGTAAATACCCCCCTCCCCCCTCTCTATATAGACGGTAATTTTATACCTATACAAAGTACTTGTATATACACGTTATACTTCGTAGAGAAGGAAGGTACCTAGATAGTATAAACCCTAATCTTCACAACTTACCTATAAAGCAAAGAAAATATACCTACCTACCTACCTACCTACCTACTTTCCACAAAATAACCCTTATTTACAGTATAGATATAAGAGGGGGAGTCGTATCATAAATAAGCTAATCTATTATCTAGCTAGGCACGTATTCTAAAATTCTGTATTATAATTCCATGGATTCCCAAAGCCTACACATTTGGTAGAGATAGAAATAAGTTTCTATTTATAAGGAGGTCTGGAAATAGTTTATGTGGAAAGGAATTACTATATGTATGGAATCTATTGAATCGAGGACTATTTGTCGAACGCTGGGAGAGACTTGGGAAGTTGATATAATTCTCGTCTCTCTAGATTCTCTCTATATGTCTTGGATATATTCGCTAACCTTGTTATCTATATCATGGAATAGCTCTACTGAGAGGCGGTGATTCTCTTGCGTTAAGGAGTTCGCTTGTTTCCCGATATATATACATATATTCTCCTTGCTAGTACCTCGTTACCACATAGAACTCTATAGTTCGTCACCGTAGCCTATTTTATTTCACTCGCGCGATCGTATTACTTGAGTTAGCTGTGAAAACCTGCTTATTTGAAGATAGTATAACTTTACTTCACTGAAAGAAAGGCTTGGAAAGGAGACGGATGACAAGACGGTTGAGGTATTGACTTAATCTTGTATTTCCAGTTTTTTCTAGTTGTTTATTCTTACTCTACCCCCTTTACCCCCAATGGAGGAATCTACTTATCGAACATATCTTCCTCATTTTTCTCTCTTCTCCTATTTTGCCAGTTCCAATTCCTCACTCTAACCCAACCTACGGACTCAACCTCTCAATCTTCCACTCTCCCCCCTCCCCTCCCTCTCCCCCCTCAGCTTTCAAATACCTAAACCGATCATGCAACCGACTCTCCCTCCCCTGCCAAAACTCCACCTCCACAGGCACAACCCTAACACCCCCCCAAAACTCCGGACAAGGAATCCCCTCCGTCCCCTCAAACCTCCTCTCCACCTCCTCCACCCACCCATCCAACACCTCCCGTCCCTCTATAACCTCACTCTGCCGACTAGCCCAAGCCCCCACCCTACTCCCTCTAATCCTCGTATCAAAATAAACCTGACTCTCCTCCGTACTCAACCTCTCCACCCTCCCCTCAATCCTAACCTGTCTCTCCAGCTCCGCCCACCAGAACGTCAGACTCGCCCAGGGATTGGACTCGATATCGCGGGCTTTTTTCGAGGTCCCCCAGTTTGAGTAGATGACGAAGCCGCGGGGGTCGAGTTCTTTGAGGTAGACCATGCGTGCGGAGACGCGGCCGGAGGGGAGGGAGGCGGTGGAGAGACAGACGGTTTCGGGGTGTGGGACGTGGGAGGTTTGCGCGTGCGAGAACCAGGTGTGGAATTGGGTTAGGGGGGATGGGGAGAGCTGGGAGGGGTCGAGAGAACCTTTGGTGAATTGTGCGGCTTGGGTGTTGTTTTGGGAGTCGGCGGGGGCGACTGTTTTGTTAGCTGGGACGCGGGATGGAGGGGTGCTTGGAGGGGCAGTTTATGGAGGGGACGTACAGATTAGTTTCTCGACGGGTGGTGGGGGGTGGAGTGCCATTTTGAGGGCGGTTGATCGGAGAAGAAGGGTTCTTGTTGCGAGCATGTATGTGTATCGGATCGGTCGTTGGTGGTGTTGAGTTGGATTGGATTGGTTTTACATAGGAGTTGGAGTGGAGTGACCTTTGAAAGGAGGGGCCAGTGATGACGCACAAGAAGTTGCGATGGTCAGGGAGCAACCCAGCTCCATCATTTTCGTTGCACCACAGCCAAAGGCTTTGCTGAAATAAATAAATAAATTGCTAAACTTTTGGATGTCATCTCTGAAATGGGATTTCCATACCCAAATTCTATTCCCAGAAAAAAACAATCTGAGAAGCCACCTGCACATGCAAAGAAACCCATGCGAAAACGCCCATAATGCACAACATCCATACCCCCCCAAACCCCCTAATCCATCGAAGGAGCCAAAGAAATCAAACTAAACCTCAACTCCCCACCCTGCGCCTCCTCCTCCCTCTTGAGAAAAAGTCTCACCCCCAGGCCCAAAGCCTTCTCACTAAGAACATCCTCCTCCCCAATCGATCCCCGATTAATCGGACCCTTCCGTCTGCCATCCATCTCCCAGAGATCATTCTTCGCATCCTTCACAAAACAAACATAATGTAAATCCACATCGTCCTCCGCGCCCGGCGCATTGCTTTGTCCCTGCGAAGCCGCACCTTGATGAGCCTTCTCCAAAGCCTGCGAGTTATAAAGGAGATCCGCGCGTTCGATAGGTCCCAATGGTACCGCGCCATCCACCAATTTCTGGAGATCAGAATTGGGTGCTATATAACATCAGCATAGTCCCCCCACAAACATATGGGAGAAAGATAAGAAGAAGAAAAAACATACTAACAAACTCCCTCGCACTCCCATTACTAACCGCATGCAAAATCCCAATCAACCCACACGCATTCCGAATCGTCTGCTTATACCACACCACCGGCTCCCCCTCTCCCTTCCCCTCATACTCCGCCTTCTCCGCATCCTCCTCCACCCGGTGCTTCTCATACGTTTTGCTCACAGGAAAGACAAACAGGAGGGCGCTTGCGGGACGCGGCGCAAAAGCTAGCATCTCCGGCTCGTCGATGCTGAAGATATCGTGGAAAGCGAGGGAGGGGGAGAGACCGAGGGTGTGGACGAGGGAACTCATGACTTCGGGGTTGTTTTCTGGGGGCCCGGGGGGTTAGTATGACTTAAAGATTTTTTCTTTTTCTTGCCTCTGACGGGATATTTGGAAGGGGGAAGGATGTACCTAAGGGGATGAAGGCCTTGCGACCTTTGGGCACGTCCGGGTTGCTGGAGAGGATTTCGGCCATGGTGTGGGTTTGTTATGCTCGGAAGTTGAGAGTCTGGTGGGTTGAGGGGATGTTGGGTTAGTGATGATGACTTTTGGAAAGGCGTGTTTGTTACATGTACTGTAGGTACTTGTAAGCTACTGTACCTAGGTAGCTCCCCTCCACGTAACCCCGCGCCCCCTCCCCCGCGGTTTGTCCGGCCCGGCAGAACATTCTTCCATCTACTCGAAGTACCTACTTACGAACTTACACGTCTTAAATATTGTATCTATATGTATACTAAGACTCAAATAACATAAGGAACATTTAATCTAGTAAAGTTATAGGATAAAGGTATCGCTAAATACCTTGATTTAATATCTTTACTAAGTTAGAAAATCCTTTCCTTTTACTTATACTTAGAACTACCTTATAGGAGAACCCGGGGTTTTTAGAACGGTTATATAACCGTTATATAATAATTTAAAAAAAAACAAGTATTAGTAAAAGATAACTAGCCCTTAATTATTATATTACGCTTTACTTTTTGAACTATTATATTTAGTAATAGTTTTAGTATAATTAAGAATTCCTTAATTATTTCTACTAGTAATTATTACCTAAGAAATAATACTTCTCTAAGTTAATTATTTATATTTATCCCGGGGCTATTCTAATAGTATTATAATAGTATTCTAGAACTATTCTATAAGTATTACCTAGCTACTAGGTAGGTAGTACGCTAAAACTAGGAATACTCTTACTTAAGAAAGATACTTGCTTACCCTTACCCTTACCCTTACCTATACTAGCGTAATATATATATACTATATAGTATTTAGGTTAAGCCTATAGAAGTAGTACTAAGTACTTATATTTATTTATATAACCCTTATTTCTCTTATGATTTAAGAGAGTTCGCGAGAACTATTCTAGAATTATTCTAGAATAGTTATAAAAGATAACTATTCTCTATATTTAAATAGTTATAAGTAGTAATAATTATAGAATAGTTATATAAAATAATAATTAGCTATTATACTAATTATTCCTTAGAACGATTACTAAGTTAGAATACTTCCAATACTTCTAGAACGTAGGCTAATTAGTAATAAATATACGACCGTTATAAAAACCCCGGGCTCTTCTATAAAATACTTAAAAATTATCTCTTAATTAAAATATTTAATTTAGTAAAAATTATAATAATCTTTAATTATAATACTCTAGCGTTTTACTCTAATCAATTAATTTTAGTATAAGAGTCTCCAGGGAGACTCTTACAGCCTTCGTTAGGTCCAGAACTCGTATTGCTCGTATTTCCGCAAAGCCACACTTAGCCACACCGAGAGCCGCATGCGCACTTGAGCCTCACCTGCACGCAGCGTGCGGCTCTTTGCGCCTACGTAGCGGCACTTCTACATGTCGGAACGATATAAAAATAAGACAGATTTGTAGGGTTAATTAAGTACTGTCTTGTCCTCGAAGGATGTACTTTTCCGACCAGTGGAAGTGCCGCTACGTAGCTGGAAAGAGCCGCACGCTGCGGACGAGTTTTGGTGTTCCTAATTAACCCACTCTTTTTTCCTAATGTAGTAGGTAGTCAGAGTTTCACGATGTTAGCCTTACAAAGGATTCTAGAGTCTCTTTTGGGGATCCGAGGAACGAGGGAAAAATCCATATCGAGACGAGAGTATTATACTAGATTACTAATTAATAGTAATTTATATAAAACCTTTAAGATTTTAAAGAGATTATTAATATTATAATATCTATATTATTTAACTCGCAGACTTATTTATCTTATATACCTTAGAGGGGAAAGCGGTAATCTTAGTATAAGAGTCTCTAGGGAAACTCTTATAGCCCTTATAAGGTCCAGAACTCGTATTACTTATATTATTATAAAGCTATACTTAGCTATACTTAGCTATATAGAGAGCCGGTACTAAGAGCTATATATATACTTAAGTCTTACCTATATATATATACAACTCTTTATACCTACGTAGTAGTACTTCTATATATCGGAATAATATAAAAATAAAATAGATTTATAGGGTTAATTAAGTACTATCTTATTCTCGAAGAATATACGTTTCCGACCGATAAGAGTACAACTATATAGCTAGAAAGAGCCGTATACTATAAACGAGTTTTAGTATTCCTACCCGACGTACTATTCCTTTCTAAAGTAGTAAGTATTCCTACGCTTTACCTAAAGTAGTAGATATTTAGAGTTTAACGTTCTAGACCTTATAAAGGATTCTAGAATCTCTTTTAGAGATCCGAGGAATAAGGGAAAAATCTATATCGAGATAAGAGTATTATACTAGATTAGAAAAGCGGAGTTTTTTAGATAGTTATAGAATAATTTATAAAAGTAAAACTATTATAAAACTATTTCTAGATAATTTAAAAATATAAAACTATTTTAATTTATAACTATTTATTATTAATCTTAGTATAAAAGTCTCTAGAGAGACCCTTATAGGCGTTATATAGGCTAGGTCCGCTAAGGTTATAATGCTATAGTTAGCTATATAAGGAGCTAGTACCGAGAGCCGTATATATACTTAAGTCTTACCTATACGTATACGGCTCTTTATACCTATATAGTTATATATATATATATCGGAATAATGTATACTTCGAGAATATAATAGTACTTAATTATTCCTATAAATACGTCTTATTTATACGTCTTTCTAATAGGTAGAAGTACCGCTATATATAGGCTTAAAGAGCCGTATACTCTATAGCGACGAGTTTTTAAGTTTTAGTATTTCTACTAACTTACTATAACTTACTTTTTCTTTTCTAATATTATAATAACTCCTACGCCTTACCTAATATAGCTATAACTTAATGTTTAACGTTCTAGCTTATACGAAGCTTTCTAGAGTCTCTTTTAGAAATCTAAGCGATAAGGAATAAATCTATATTAAGATAAGAGAATATTAAAATAGATTAATTTATTATAAAAACTATTTTAAATTTTCAACTAATATAAAATAATTTAAAAGGAATATAGTCTAGGATTTATAACTATCTAAATAGAAAATAATCTTAAGACTATTTATAAGTATAATAGTTTGAATTAATAATAGTCTTAATATTAAATAGTTTTAAAACTACATTATGATCATTTTATTTATAAATAGTTTTAAGACTATTTCAGCTATGAATATTCTTAGATTTATAACTATTTTCTATATTAATAGTCTAATTTATAGATAGTCTAAGAATCGTGCTTAAATAGTCGCCGAAGGGTTCTCGGATACTTCTAGGATAGTCCCAGGACGGTCCTAGGACTGTACGGAAAAGTACCCTATAAGGCCGTATATAGGCGCGTAGAGTTATAGCGTATAGGCTATATTACGTACTCGATAGTACTCCTATACGCTTAACCCTAACGCTATAAAGATATAAGTGTTAAATTCGGTCGATTTAGCGAAATTTAACGGGCGCGTACTATAGGCGGCCTAACGTACGATATTAGTAGTAGGTGTTAAGGGGTAGATTACTGTACGCGGGGAATATACCCGTAGTAGGCGCCCGAGCGTAAGCGCCGGCCGGGAGTGCCTTGCGTATACTACTTACGTAATAATATATAACCGTCCTAGGACCGTTAGGTAACTATTTTATATTTATAAAACTATTCTTAACTATCTTATTAATATAACTATCTAATATTATAAAACTATCTTTATATATAAACTACCCTCCTCCTATTACCTAGCGGTTTTTTTCCTAGGACTAGATTCTATATAAGATACTCTAGTAAAAGTCTCTAGATAGTCTAAAAAACTTCGCTTTCCTCTCTAAGGTAAGTTACTAGGGACTAATTACTTACCGCTAAAAACAGGAGGAAAAGTAGGATCGGTAGTATTACGGGAGACTAGCGTATATATAGAAGGTTTAATATAGTATTTAATAAGTTTGATAAAGAAGAGAGAAGGAATCTTCTCGGGCTCTACTATAAAGGAGAAGTAGCTCTCTTAGTAAGGCTTAGTAAGTACTAGTATAGCTAGTACTATACCTAGCGGCTAACCCCTTATATTACTTCCCTCCTCCTATAATTAATATATTAGAGTCCGTCTATATATAATAACCTAAACACGTCTATACCTTTAGGTTAACTTTACTTTTAGGTCGACTTTACTTCTATATTATTCTAATATATACCTTCTTAAGAAGCGTTTATAGGAAGTTATAGTATAAGAACCTCCCTCTACCCTCTTTTCTTCTCTTCTTCTTCTTTCTACTAATAATAATAATAATAATTATTATTATTATTATAAGTTATATACTTTTTCCTTTATTTTTATAATAATATCTACTTAATACTAATTAGCGAAAATAACTACCCTAGTATACTATATTAGTTATACTTAAGCTAGTATTATCTATAAGAACTAAATAGTAAGTTAGTTTCTAGTACTTTTAAGCCGGTATCTACTAACTAGCTTAGTTAAACCGAACTTAGTTATATACTACTTATACCAGTAGGAAGAAAAACTACGAAAATGTATAGGTTTCTATTAAACCCTATCTAAAAAACGTTAGTAACTATAATAGTTCCTAATTTATCTATATTACCTATACTATCTAGACTCGCTCGACTACTACTACCTAGTAAAAAGACTTTTATATACTACTTAATATTTATTAGTGAATAATTTTTTTAGTATAGTAGCCTACGCTAACCTAAAGAAGGCTCTTAAGGCTTAGAAGTCTTTAAAGCTCTTTTAGTAGAATAGCTTACTTTCTTTATAAATATACTATTCTCTACTATATTTTTATTACTAACTATTAGCTACTAGGAATATTATAGCTAAAGTAACTTATTTTATTATTATAGTTATTATATAAGATAGTACTTTATAGGTTTATTTTAGTTTCTACTCCTTTTCTATTACTTTCTACTTCTAGCCTTAGTAGTATTCCTCCTCTATCTTTATAGCTTAGTCTATACTAAGAAAATAAATAAATTTTATAGGTTCTACCTTCTCTTTTATAGTCTTTAGTCTTTAGTTTAGTAAGTAGTAATAATATAGTAGTAATAGTATAGTTTCTGGTATTTTTCGAGCTTTCTCTAGTATATTGAAAATAGTTCTTAAGTAGTAAATAA